GGTGGGCAGGTGGGCCAAAACAGCAGCAGACATAGAACCGGTTCTATGTCTGCTGCTCTTCAGAGCAACCGGTTCTACAGAGGTGGACATAACCAGTAAATCTCACCCCTGATGCAAACCATCTCTTTTGTACAGTTTTTCATTGGACCAGCTGCAGACATCATGACTAATATAACCAAAGCCTTCCCTTTTACACCACTCCTTTAGCCACACATTAAACTCTGCTACACACTGCCCTTTCCCTTTTTGTTCTTGTATACTGGTAGAACCTCTGAAAAGATAAGCCTACAGCCCATATTACTAAGTTCATACCCCAAGCTCTAGAAGTCTTTCTGAACAGAAAGTACATCCTTCTGGGACAGATCATTTGTACCAAGATGTATAATAGCATCAATATCACAGTCCTTGCTGGCATTCTTGACTATCTTAAGAATACGCTTCTTGTCTCTGCTGGCAGTAGCACCTGGTAGACACCTGACCTCTTTCAAAACCTCAGTATCCTTTCCTAAATTTACATCCCTTACAATTGAGTCCCCAACCAGAAGGTGGCTTCTCTTTTTGGATGCCTTGTTCTTCTTGTGTGACTGATGCGTAATACCTGATTCACAACTTTCTCCTTTCCAAAGTAAGTTCTTCTTCTAAGACCATGATTCCCAGCTTACTTGAGTTATCGTTAGTCTGTCCATTTCAGCGTATTCGAGTCTTTTTTATTATTGCTGTCTCGGAGGGTATAGTGTCCTGTTTCCAGTTTTTGGTAACTGAGATTCTGGCAGCGGTTACTATATGGAGTATAATATATTGGAAGTTCCTACTAACTTTTGATCCTATTATACCTAATAAAAACAATTCAGGTCTTAATTCAATTCTTTGTCTCATTGCATGCCATCCCAACTGAAGATCATGGCCCTCTATTGCTAATATTCTTTTATTGTCAAGGTTGATCCAATCTGTAAGCCATGTTGTAATTGCCACCTGGTATATAGTTCAAAGTCCAGAAGTCCAAATCCTCCTTTGTGCCTACTATCTTGTAAAAGTTTAAATTTTATCCAGGGTTTTTTCCTTAACCATATAAATTTCGCAATTCTTTTATTCAAATCGTCAAAAAAAAATTTCCCCAATTTTACCGGCACCATTTGAAACAAGAATAAGAGTTTGGGTAGTATACTCATTTTTACAGTCACTATCCATCCCAATAATGAGAGTTGTATTTTGCCCCAGTTAACCAGATCTTTTTGTATTTGTAATATTATTTTATCATAATTATCTTCCTTTATGGAAGAGCATTTTGCCGTGAGCCAAACTCCTAAATACTTTACTTTTTTTGCTATTTGTATCCCTAATTCATGTTCCAATTCTTCATTTTGACTCTTTGTAAGATTTTTAATTATTTTTGTCTTTTCCTTTTTAATTTTTAATCCTACTACCATTCCAAATTCTTCTATTTCACAAATTAGTATACTACCTGTCTCTATTGGATCGAAATGCCATATCGTCTGCAAAAGCTTGGACTTTGTATTCTTCTTTTTTAGTAATCAATCCTTTTATTTCCTGATTCTGCCTAATTTGGATCAGCAGTACTTCTGCTGATAATATATATAAAAGTGACGCTAATGGGCATCCTTGTCTTACTCCTTTATTAATATTCAAATCATCTGTTGTTTCTCCATTCAATATCACTTTTGCAGTTTGTGTATTATATAGTGTTTTAATAAACCCTACAAATTTTTCACCAAATTGCATCATACTCAATTGTTTTATGAGGAATTGCCAATTCAAATTATCAAATGCTTTCTGCGTGTCCAGAAATATCAATGCCATTGGTTTCTCTGAGTGGGTCTCGTAGTATTCTAAGACATCCATAATCAACCTTGTATTGTCTTTTATCTGTCTGTTTGGGAGGAATCCATTCTGGTCGGGATGAATAACTTCGCTTAGTATTGTTTTTAATCTTTCAGACACTATTGTGGCCATGATCTTATAGTCTACATTTAAGAGGGAGATCCGTCTGTAATTTCTAATTTGCTGAAGATCTGTATGTTCCTTCAGAATAAGTGTTATAAGGGCCTCTGTCCATGTCTTTGGTATTTTTGCCTGCCCAAGTGCCTCGTTGTACAGATCTAGCATTATTTCTTCTAGTGGGTTCTGGATTTCTTTGTAAAACTCTGCTGGAATTCCATCCGGGCCCGGGGTTTTGTTGGTTTTTTGTTTTCCAATTGCATCTTTCAATTCTTTCATGGTAATTTTATTGTTCAACATTTCCCTTACAGTGTCTGATATTATAGGTAGATCCCTATTTTTTAGATATTGTATAATGTCTTCTGGGATTTCTTTCTGGGTATAAAGACTAGAGAAGAACTTTTGGGCTATAATTTTCTTCTTAGCCATCTGGTAGCAGGGACTCCCATTCTCATCTTGCAGTAGATGTATTATTATTATTTTTTTGTTCCTTTTTCAATTTATGTGCCAGCCACCTCCCTGGCTTGTTTGCATTCTCGAAATAATTTTGCTTCACCAATTTGAGTTTTAGGGACATTTCCTCTTGTAACCTTATATTCATTTCGTGTTTCACTATATCTCTTTCTCTTCTAATTTCCTCATTGTGGGGGTCTTTCTGCATTTTGACTTCCAGTTCCTTCAGTTTCTCCTGCCATATCATCTGTTGTTTCTTCCTTTCCTTATTTCTTTTTGCTGCATAAGCTATAGTTAGGCCCCTTATGTAAGCTTTTGTTGTGTCCCACAAATTTTGTAATGTTGTTTGCTCTCTCAAATTGATCTAAAAATACTTTTAATTCTTTTTCCAGCATTTGGGTGTATTCTTTTTCTTTTAGTAGGCTTTTGTTAATAGTCCATCTCCCAACTCTCCTCTTTCCTTTCCATTTCATTTTTATAGGGTTGAGGTCAGCCCAAGTGTTTGGCATAATATCTATCTCCTCAATGTTCTTTCCCAATTCTGAATCCATCCATATCATGTCAATTCTCGACCACGATTTATGGGGGTTAGAAAAAATGGTATACTGTCTTTCTTGTGGGTTTAGTTCCCTCCAAATAACTTTTAGGTTCAGTTCTTGTGCCATTCTGTTAAATGAGATTGGGAGTGTTCTCCTCTTCTTTTTATTTATTTTTACTACTTATATAGTCTTTTTCTATATCAGACACTGCATTGTAATCCCCTATTACACACACATTTTCCTGTGAAATTTCAATTATTTTTCTGTGAAATTTACAATAGAATTCCTTTTGATTTGCATTTGGTGCATAGATTATTGCCAACAATACTTTCTTTTGATGTTAGGTTATTTCTACCAGTAGCATTCTTCCATCATCATCTCCGTAAATCTGCCTTGGTCTCAGCCATTCCTTTATATATACTGCATTTCCTCTTTTCCTTTTGTTTGCCAAGGCCAGATGCAGTTTACCTAATTTGGGAAATTCTAGGATACCTCCATTTTGTTTAGAAATATGACCCTCTTCAATGGAGGTTTGCTGGAATTCTGACATCCTAATTCTTGCATCCATCTATCATAAAATGTATAAATCCTTAGAATTAAATCCAGAGAGCATTAGTTCCAAGTTACCTTAACAAATGACTGGAAATGTTGGACACCAGTACCAATCTCTAGCATGCTAAGGGAAACTATGAGCTCTGTGAATGCAAGAAACCCAGTTCTACATGCACGTTTTTGTGTACTCATCTAGAAGATTTGTAGACATTTCCTACATCAAAAACACAGAAGAGGTGCAGCTGTTGTTCAAATCATGAATTCAACTTTCAGTTGTCATCTTGAAATAACTTGAGAATGATCTGCAGGTATTTCAACTTGGTTCTGTTAGGGCAGTGGTGTCAAACTTGCGGCCCATGGGTTGTATGAGCCACATGCTGGCCATGCCCACCCTGGTTTAGCAAAGAGGAAAAACGTTCTGATACGTCATGTGACGACGACATGACGACTTGAGTTTGATACCCCTGTGTTAGGCCTACTTTGAATGTTTTCATCATTTTCTCACGTGTTCCTTGGTCTTTTCCCCCACTCCCCCACTTTTTGTTTCCATTTTAACTCATATAAGCAAGTTAATGGATATATGGAAAACTGAAAAGTTTTAATGAGCAGCATCCAAGGGAAGGGTAAAAAATTAAGGTGATGTTTGAAGCAGCATTTTCAAAGCTCTCTTCAACACTCCACTCAATACAGCCTCAGAATGAATTTTGATATTTTTGAGACCCTTCTAGTTGTTTTAAATATGAATTTGTAGTGATCATTGAGGTTTGTGAAAATGTGGTAGAATTTCTCATAGTACCTGTTAGGGATAACATTGGTTACCTAACTTAGTTTGGCTAAATATAATATATGTTTGTTAGTTTAAATGTGTGTGTCACTTTAAACTGTAAGCCAAGTATTTGGGTGCGGTTGTAAATCGCCATAAGAGGGAGCAAGAGAGCTCACCGTTCGCCGGCTTTTACTGGAATGCTGACAGAGAAGGATTGATGGTGATTACTGCGTGCGTTTGCTGAGAGAAGAAAAGAAGGTTTGATTTTGCTTCATATCTCTGACTGCAAAAGAGATACATCACTGGACTGATTGTTTGTGAGTTGAACGACCTATTTTCTACACTGGACTTTGCAAACTGAATAACCCTCGGACTGTCTGAACTTAGTGTATGACATATGGACTGCTTTGACTATGCTATAACTCTTGCTGGAATAAAAACTATTTAATTGCACAGTGTATCTGTCTTACTGATTGTAAAGCTACAACAACGCTTTATCTCACACACACTCTCTGTCTGCTAGACTGCCGTTGCACGTTCTGCTAGGGTGTTGTATCCCTAACAGTACCTTTGTGAGCACATGGACATCAGATTCTGCATTCAGATGGATTGATTAAGTACTAGCCTCACGACTTGTACTTCAACTCAACTTTTTTCAACAGTCAGCAAGAGGAAATTATTCCAAACACTGATGTTTAAAGAGCATTTTTCTTTTCCTTTTTTGTCTTCTATAGAGTTTACAGATGTTGCCTCAACAACGAAAGGCCATTGCAAAATTTAAAGAGCCTGCTGATGCTTTAAAATTTCAACAGAAATTTCACAGGTAAGTATAGTACATAGGTTTTCTCATATATGAACTATTTTACACTTCCTCAACATTTCTCAGTGTTAGATGTCTTTTATTACAATCCCATTGTCCCTAACCAATCTAGTGAAAAAGACAAAAGTTCAATACAGCGATTGGGAAAACTATAAATTCTTTTCAACCAATTCACTTTAAAAAGACCTTTTATCTTCTTGAGATTCTGTTTAACTTAGAGCTGATTCAGCTGTAGTAGTGACAGTTGATCAGGCTGAAAGAAGCCTTGTATCCATGTGTTCAATTTTTGTTTTTAAATGTCACAAGACACTTTTTTTCAACATTGATGTCTGTCTTTAAGCTACACTTTACCATGGCATCAAGAATAAATGTCATTGTATGTACAGTATACAATGCATATCAAATTATGTTTTGTATCATGATTTGTAAGCAGAATGTAAAATGGATTCAAATTCTGAATGCTATAGTTTTACAAGCCAATGTCTCAGTGAAAAAGTTAGGTGCTTGACTAAACTGGGTCCAGGATATTTGAAGAACTGTCTTGCCCCAATGGGACTCGCCTGCCCCACACATTCCGGCAGAAGAGGTCTACTATGAACTTCATCAGCCAAGGAATTTCAGCTGGTGGGGACTGGGAGAAGAGCCTTTTATGTCATGGCCCCCACACTTTGGAACATCCTGCTGCCAGAGGTGAGGTCCACCCCCACCCTTTTGGCCTTCTGAAAGGGCCTTAAGATCTGGCTCTGCTGGTTGGCGTGGGGCCCTGTTAGAGACACTTTAGGCTGGTGCAGTGACAAGAGGGCACCCCCCCCCCTCCATGTGAGCCCTTGGGGTTTTTAGTCTATTCTTGTAATTTTAACTGTTCCTACATTATAATTGACTTACAGATCTATTTTTATTGCATTGTAAGCTACCCAGAGTCACTTTGGATAGTGAGATGGGCAGCATAAATTTAATAAATGAATGAACAAATAAATCTGAAATGAAACAATCCAGTCTTTTCATACACTGTGTGCACAATTATTAGGCAAGTGAGTATTTTGACCATATCATTTATGCATATTTTCTACCTCCAAGCTGTATATACATGAATGCTTGTTGGATATAAGCATATCAGGTGATATGTATTTGTGTAATGAAGGAGGGTGTGGCCAAAGGAGATCAACGCCCTATATCAAGGTGTGCATAATTATTAGGCAGCTCCTTTTCCTCAGGCCAGATGGGCCAAAAAGATTTAATTGATTCTGAAAAGTCAAAAATTGTAAAAAGTCTTTCAGAGGGATGCAGCACTCTTGAAATTGCTAATATTGCAAATAGTCGACAGGGTTGCAAGAAACATGTTGAGAAAAAAAGATGCACATTAACTGCCAAAGATTTGGGAAGAATCAAACATGAAGCTACCAGGAACCCATTATCCTCCAGTGCTGTCATATTCCAGAACTGTAACCTACCTGGAGTGCCCAAAAGTACAAGGTGTTCAGTGCTCAGAGGCATGGCCAAGGTAAGGAAGGTTGAAACCCAATCACCACTGAACAAGACATATAAGTTGAAATAGCAAGACTGGGCCAAGAAATATCTGAAGACAGATTTTTCAGAGGTGTTATGGACTGATGAGATGAGAGTGACTCTTGATGGACCAGATGGATGGGCCTGTGGCTGGATCATTAACCGGCACAGAGCTCCACTAAGACTCAGATGCCAGCAAGGTGGAGGTGGGGTACTGGTATGGGCTGGTATTATTAACGATGAGCTAGTTGGACCTTTTCCGGTTGAAGATGGACTCAAAATCAACTCCCAAACCTACTGCCAGTTTTTAGAAGACACTTTATTCAAGCAGTGGTACAGGAAAAAGTCTGCATCTTTCAAGAAGACCATGATTTTTATTTTTTTTTTGGTAAAAGTTTTATTGATTTTAACAACAAATAAAAACACATAAAACATAAAACATAACATAAAAACATCATCGTTCTTCATAAATTTACAGACAGTGTATCGGTTGGTTTACCACTCCTTTTTGTGCATCCATTTCATAGTCATAATAATTATGTTACATAATAACTCATATTATCAATCAACAATTATATATCCTAATATCATTATTAAACAATCATTTGACTATAATTTTACTAATTCATACTTAAGCGAGATAACTATAATTTAGTTAATTTATTTTATAACAGATCGTAAAATCATACCAAGTCTATCTTAATAAAATATTCTAAAAATGTTATCAAAACAAAAAAAAAGTATATTCGTTATTTCCTAGGTTTCTAAATATTCTATTATTATATTGTATTATCTAACCATTGATAAAAAAGATCCCAAACTTCATAAAATTGTTTATCTTCTTGTTCTCTAATTTCAAATGTCAATCTACTCATTTCAGCACATTCCAGTATTTTCTTAATAATTTCTTCCTCTAATGGTATTTTCTCACTCTTCCAATTTTTAGCAAATACAATCCTAGCCGCTGTTAACACATTTACAATCAAGTACTTTAAGTTTTTATTAAATGTATCAGGTAAGATTCCCAATAGAAAAATCTCTGGTTTCAAATCTATATGTTCTTTTATCATTTCTTCCAACCATATGCGAATTCTAGTCCAGTATTTCCTGGCCTCCTCACAAGTCCACCACATATGGTAATATGAGCCAGGGATCTGATGACATTTCCAGCATTTTTCAGATTTGTTCTTGAACATTCTTGCTATTCTTGTTGGTGGGAAATGCCACCTGTAAAACATCCTATACAAATTTTCTTTATATGCTACTGACATTGTCATTTTATAATTTTGAGACCACAATTTTTGCCATTTCTCTAAATCAATCCCATATCCAAAATTCTTCCCCCAAACAATCATTGTTTCTTTGACTTGTTCTTCCTCTAATTTAATTTCCAACAAATAACTATATAGTTTTTTAATCACTTTTTCATCAGAACCTGTCAAAATCCTATCTAAATCAGTCAATTTATCATAAAATCCTTCTGTTTTAGAATCTTTAAGATACCTTGAGTGTATTTGCACATATGAAAACCAATTCATCTTTATATCTTGTTCTTCTAACTTTTGCATCGTTTTAAGTTCACCCTTTTCATCCAATATTTCCCCATATCTAACTGTTTGTTCCTTCTTATAAATTATAGGATAGGAAAAAGCTTCGATAGTTGATAACCAAACTGGTATTTTCAGATAACATTGTTTCTTAATTTTCTCCCAATTCAACCATAACGATTCCCGTATATAGTGCCTTCTGAAATAACCCTGCGATTTAGTTCCCTTATACCATAAAAAAGCATGCCAACCCAATAATAAGTCATGTCCTTCCAATGCCAGTAATCTAGACTTTCTTAACGTTATCCATTCTTTAGCCCACATTAAGTTTGCAGCTTGATAATACAACTCCCAATTAGGAAGGCCAAATCCTCCTCTAGTTCTAGCATCCTGTAAAAGTTTTAGTTTTATTCTCGCTTTCTTACCTTGCCATATATACTTCAACACAATTTTATTTAATTCTTCAAAATAATCCTTACCTAATTTAATTGGTATTGTTTGAAACAAATTCTGGGTAAAATATTCATTTTAATTGTTGAAATTCTACCTATCAAAGATAATTGTAGGTTTTCCCATTTTTTCAAGTCCGATGCTATCTGCTGTTTAAGTTTAATATAGTTATTCTCTTTCAGTGTAATACATCTTGACGTCAAAAATATCCCCAAGTATTTAACTTTATTCGTAACTTGAATTTTCAATAGGTCTGCCAACTCTTTTCTTTGCCTTAATAACATATTTTTTGTCAGAATCTTTGTTTTGTCTTTATTTATTTTCAAGCCAGCCATCTCACCATACGTCTCTATCTTTTCCAGTAATTTTAAAGCTGTCTCTAGAGGGTCTTCCAAAATAAAGACCAAGTCGTCCGCAAAGGCTTGCAATTTAAATTCCTCCTTTTTAACTTTCATTCCTTTTATATTTGTATCCTCTCTAATATTTCTATTTAACACTTCCAAAGTCAATACAAATAACAAAGGGGATAATGGACATCCTTGTCTTGTGCCTTTTTTAATATTGATAGGGTCTGTAAATTCTCCGTCTATCATCACTTTTGCTGTTTGCTTGTAATATATGGCTTCTATTGCTTGAATAAATTTTCTAGCAAAGCCCATCTGTTCCAATAATAATAACATAAATCTCCAATTCACGTTATCAAATGCCTTTTGGGCATCTAAGAATATCAAAGCCATTTGTTTTTCAGGGTGTGCCTCATAGTATTCCAAAGTGTCCAAAATTACTCTCATGTTGTCTTTAATTTGTCTCTTTGGTAGAAATCCATTCTGATCAGGATGGATAAAATTATTTAGGTATTTTTTAAGCCTTTCTGCCAAAATTGAAGCAAATATTTTATAATCTGCATTCAATAAGGAAATAGGTCTATAGTTCTTAATTTGTAATGGGTCAGTCCCTTCTTTTGGAATAAGCGTAATATAAGCTTCTGACCATGTTTTGGGTATTTTCTTATTTATCATAGCTTCATTCATAATTTCTAACAATGAAATACTCAACGATTCTTGTAATGTTTTATAAAATTCTGCCGGGAAACCATCTGGTCCTGGTGCTTTCCCGTTATTCTGCCTATTGAGTGCTTCAGTTAATTCCATCGTCGTTATAGGATTTTCTAACATTTTCCCAGTTTCATCAGGTATCTTAGGTAGGTTAGCATTTTGTAAATACTGTTTGATTTTCCCCTCATCAAAATCCTCCTGCTTATATAATTGTGCATAAAAGTCTCGAATAATTCTCTTTTTCTCCTTATTACCATGACAAACTTGACCTTGTTCGTCCATTAACTGTAGTATTTTCCTTGATTCTTTCTCTTTTCTCAGTTTGTATGCTAACCATCTACCTGGCCTGTTTGCATCCTCAAAGTAGTTCTGTTTAGCGCTTCTGATTTTTTGCGCCAATTCTTCTTTCTCTGTTTGATCCATTTTATGTTTGATTATGTCCATTTTAAATTTAATATCTTTTTTCTGTGGCGTTCTCTGTAATTCTTTTTCCAATTTTTTATAGTCATCTTCTAAAGTTTTAATCATTTGCCTCTTCCTAATATTCTTTTTCTTTGTATAATCCATTATCAATCCTCTTGCATATGCCTTCATTGTGTCCCAAACATTCTGTATTGAAGTATCTTCTTTTCTGTTTTCATTAAAGAAGAAGGCCAGTTCTTTTTCCATGATTTTTATGTAGGACAATTCTCCGTTACATGCATCGAAGTACTCTTCTGCATGGCTAGCCAGTAAAGGCCTTAAGGATGAAAGAGTAATGACATGGCCCACTTCCTCACCTGACCTACACCCTATTGAGAACTTGTCGGCCCTTCTTAAACGGGAGATTTACGGTGAAGGAAAACAGCACACTTCTCTGAATAGGTCTGGGAGGCTGTGGTTGCTGCTGCACAAACAGTTGATCGTCAGCAGATCAAGAAACTGACAGACTCCATGAATGGAAGGCTTATGACTGTTATTGAAAAGAAGGCTGGTTATATTGGTCACTGATTTTTTATTTTTTTTTGAAATGTCAGAAATGTTTATTTGTAAATTTTGAGGTATTTGTTTATTATTCTCACTTTAACAGATTAAAAATAAATGAGTGAGATGGGAAAATTTTCATTTTTCATTTAGTTGCATAATAATTCTGCATACTACTAATTGCCCAATAATTGTGCACACATAGATATTCTCCTAAGAAAGCCAAAACCTCACTTTTACTTTCTTAAACATTCAGGTTTGCAGTTTCTTAACATTTTGGGTTGACTGAGAGCACTGTAGTTGTTATCCTCCAAAATATAACTTGCCTAATAATTGTGCACACAGTGTAGTTTGAACCACTTACTTATGAAACATGGCTGCATCTGAACCAAGCCTGAAATTGCATGAGAGCGTGTAGCTAAACAAGTTCCTTAATGCATTAAAAAAATACAGCTGCCTTACATCATTGTGCATTCATCTTTTTTTCCAGGCACATGATAGATCTCTCCCATATCAATGTGGCACTGATAGTGGATTGACCCACTGAGCATACGTTGTCTTACAATAAAGCAAGTTATGGAGGAAGTCAGAAGGGTAGAATCTTCCTGTAATTTCTGGTGCCAGCTTTGCAGACTCCTCCTGAAACTTCAAATTATTTTGTGACAGCTGCTGACAGCAACAACCTTGCTACAAATGAAGTTTGATTTCAAGATTGAAAAATATCTGTATTGAACATAACTACAGATCTCATGTATGAATCTCATGTATGAGTACACGGATGTTTTCAGGCAATTACTATGTGATCACAATGACTTGGAACAAAAGAACATTGACTCTTGAAAAGTTTTTTATGTTTTTTCTTAGAAAAGAATATTTGATAATCGTTGCCCTTATCTTCAGTTTGAGGTGTTGAAATCAGAATACACCCATAATCTACTGTTTGTAGCTAAGAGTATAGATGCCTATAATATAGAATAAAAGTTTATCTATGTAATTTGTGGGGGTTTTTGGTTTTTGTTTTTTTTCTAAGAGGCTCTGAAGCTCATTCTTGAAAGCTCTTATTCCTAGTAAGGTGAATGTACAGGTAGTCCTCGACTTACAACAGTTCATTAAATAACCATTCAAAGTTACAACAGCACTGAAAAAAAGTGACTTATGACCATTTTTCACATTTATGACCTTGCAGCAGCTCCATGGTCACATGATCAAAATTCAGATGTTTAGCAAGTGGTTCATATTTATGATGGTTACAGCGTCCTGGGCTAATGTGATCAGCTTTTGTGACCTTCTGACAAGCAAAGTCAATGGGGAATCCAGATTCACTTAACAAACATTTTATTAACTTAACAAATACAATGATTCACTTAACAACTATGGCAAGAAAAGTCATAAAATGGGGCAAACTCACTTAACAAATGTTTCACTTAACAACATTAATTTTGGCCTCAATTGTGGTGGTAACTCAAGGACTACCTGTAGTTTGTTGCGCATAAAAGTCCCTCTCGGTGTTCCCAGCATTATTTCTTACCAACCCTATTTTGAACAAATAGTCTCATCAGTTTGATGTATGAAGGATGCTTGTGTTCAGACTCCAGAATCTTGGATCGACACATCTTTTAGTCTTCTCTTGTGCTTTCTTAGAGTGCTTGAATGGCTAGGAACTATCTGAAAGCTGTTGGTGGTGAGAATGTTTACATATTCATGTCCAGGAGATCCATTTTGATTAGGCTTGTTGGGAAATGAGTCACTGGTGTTGAGCTTCATATTTTAATTTATTTTTTGTGTAATAATTGGCAGCAATGCTTGTTAACGGTAGAATCTGCCAAATCATACTCTAGCACTGTTCCCACATCACCTGGTGAATTACGAGGATATTTTTTGTGTGAGATGTGGGCTGTTCTGAAAATATATGCAGACTTTATGGAAGTTCTGCTTTTATACTAAATAAACTCTTTCAAAACTCCAAAGAAAGGTGCTTGTGACACCGTTCCCTGCTTCCTTTGGTTAGTGAGAAGAGAGAACTCCTTTTACTAATCTTAGAAATCTATTCAATGTTTATGTATTTGAGGCCAATAAACACAGAGCTAATAAGGATTATAACTTAGTGAGTTTAAGCATATAGAAAAATAGTCAAAGAATGTTCTCTCAGGACTGCAGGTTATATGACATTGAGAAGTAGTGATGTTTCTTTTCTAATTATTCAAAATATTCTGAACAGACGAAGGCTTTTAAAACTGTTCCCAGTTAAAGAGAAGTTATGGGAATCAGCTATAAGCAATTAAGATATAAAAATACATCATGTCTTCTAAAGGCAAAGCTGGTTTGTTTGGTACCATGGCTATAGCATCTTTGGTATAATGTAGGGTATGAAGATATGTTAAAGACATTTTATCAACTAGCTAGAAAAAGTCTTCATCTTGCGGAGTATCCTACCTTGAATTTGACCATGCCATAGAGGTGAGTTTTGCTGTCCTTTATTGTTTATATCTCTTAATTTGTATTTGTTAAAAAAACCTGGGATTTTAGTTTCTGGTGCAATTTAGGCTAGCTTTTCTCTGCTTAGAATTGTGTTAAAACAGTCCCTCAGGGTCAAAAGAAAGAGACTATCATACCTTTGCCCATCTCAGGACATGTTACAGTCTTTCCACAAAACTAAGATTGTGCTTTAAGACTTAACATGTAAAGTAATATTTTTAAAAAAATATGTCTTCACCATACAGCTCAGGTACAGTTTGTCCATAACAAACAAGCACGATACCCAGATAGTTCTGAAAACAGAGTAGGTTGAAACTGAATTCACTATGCAGTAAAGAGCTGGGCTCAGTCATTGGCAAGGCTGCATCACTTTGGCAGGATTAAATGCAACAATGCCTGCCAGAAGAGGGGATTTTATAATGTCCCACCTCTACATCACATTTGAGGTCTGAGGAAACTTTTATTTATTATGTCAGCAGGTCTTTGATTAGGCTTAAGTGAAGACTGGGAGCATTAATGTAATGCTTTAAGGTTTACAACTTCTATATATGGGAAATCTATGGTATGGCATTTAAAATAATGGTGTGGACTTTTGTATGATTTGTCTGAGGCCCATTTCTTGCACATGATGGCAAATGCTCACCATTTTGGTAGAGGAGTTTCTCAGCTATGGGAAAGAGAAAGAAGACAACTTGTGATATTTTTTCTCTGTCTCTCTTTGTAGTGAGCAGAAAGAAACCTGTAGTATGGGTGATAGGCACCAAAATCTGTTGCTTGAATTGTCTTTAGACATTACAATACCTTGACTGATTAATGCAAAATTAGAACTGAGGTTGGCATGTTCATAGTAATGTTGGTTCCCAATTTTGAGGTGCCTTCCACAAAAGCAAATCACAGTAAAAATAGGATACCCTGTTCTTTGCATAATGCTTCCTGACCCTATCTCCAAATCTTTTGTAGAAGATCTGGTGCAACCATTATCTTGTTCTTTATCATGTGTTCTTTTAAAGATGCAAAATGCAGGCATTGCATTTAATGTATTGTGTAAATATGAGACTCTTTAACAAAATTTAGATGAAGCTGTTCACATGAAAGCTTATTTGGTGGGATGGGGAGGAAGGCAGTTGTATTGTCTTATCAGAGTTGAATGAAAATGGTTCTATAAATGTTGCTGTTGTTACTATTTTTGGTGTAACTCTTCTGTTTTTTTATAAAGTTGCCAGTAAGTCAATACATGTCTCTTGACCTGTGTATTATTTGTTCTGGAACTTCAAAAGTATACATTTGGTATAGATGTTTAGCCAGTGACCACTGTATGTGCAAACTTTTTTCTAGTATAGAGATAATTTTCATTTAATTTGGCAACATTTTCTAGGTCACTTTAGTTTTCATACCCATACCAATAAAAAAGTGTAGTCAAGTTATGTCTAGATGCTGAAGTATTAATGGCTATATAGTTCAAAGTTAAATGGCCACTGTAGTATTCATTAATTCATGTATTTTTCACATTCATTTTGGACAAAGTTGGATAATTTTAATTTCATAAGAAATTAAAGATAATCTGCATAATGGTGTTTTTATCCAGGCTAAAATGAGGGTGATTTACTCTTGGCTCACCTATCATGAGAAGATTACAGAAAATCATCCCTATATAACTATTGTGTTCTTCAAATTTTCAAAAGTTGTTCTGAAATATTGGTCATAAAGGAGAGATGTTCATTGGAAGTCAAATTTTTAATTATTAGATATTGCTAGGACATTAAAAGCTACAAAAATAGCTAGAGTGTATAGAGATGGGTGTACCAACTATTTGTAGTTTGTATCAAAGTAGACTGACTGAACAATTGAACCACTATTGACCAAGTAGATAGCCTCTAGGTCAGGGGTGTCAAATTTCATTGAGGGCTGCATCAGGGTTGTGTTTGACCTTGGAGGGCTGGTGGTGGGGCGTGGGTGGGGGTGGGGGTGACCATGGTGGGCGTTTGACACAGGCTCAAAGATGCATTTTTCCCCTTTGCATTCAAAACATCTATTCCAGACAAAGGGAGATTTACTTTCTGGCACAAATATTCTCAATTCCATAATGTAGAGCTTAAAGACATGTAGAGTCCCCAGCTGCTATGGGGCTTGACTTTTGTATGGAGCAGAGCATAAATGAACTGACAATTTATCCAGATGTCTCTAAAAACTGTCTGTCCAACAGTCTATCAATTTTTGTTACTACCTCTGACAAAGCCCTAGAGGAAGACTTAATATTAGTAATAATTTACAGTATATTATAAGTATATTATGTCCCAGGGGTGGAATGCAAATATTTTTACTACTGGTTCTGTGGGCATGGCTAGGTGGGAGTGGCTAGGTGGGCGTGGATTTTTTTTCAGCGCCCCCCCCCCCCCCCCCCCCCCCCC